CAAAGAATTGTGAGTGTGTAGGTCCTTCTCCGGGTTGTTGTGCTTTGAAATTTGATAATCTTGAGGATGAATTTATAAAGGATGATGCTAGAGGCCTTGAAATTCCATAGGGGAGGATTTTTGATGCTTGATTTGGGAAGGAAATAGTTATTTTGGTATAGGAAAGACAATGGAGGAAGGGGTGGGAGACGGAAACTTGGAAATTGATATCCCTAAGCAGGTTCATAATAATTGTTGCCATATGTTATTGGGGAGTGAAGATGGGGCAGATGGAGATTGTTTGTTTGATGAAGTAACTTGGGTTTGATTGAGAGATCTTCTGGTGAAAATGGATATTTCATTAGTGCATAATTCGGGAAAAATGAAGGAAAAATAGTGAAGGGAGTTGAGTAAGGAAGAATAGTGATTTGAGGGAGTTAAGAAATTTAGAACCAGGGGTGAATTATGAGGACAATTGTTCTAAGAGAGTTGGAGGGGGGGAGTTAGTTGTCTTATGAAGATCTTAAGCTAGAATGTGCAAGGACTAGGGTATAGGAAGAAGAAAAGTTCCATTAAGGAGGATGTGATAAAGGTAGATCTGGACATTGTAGTGTTACAAGAGACTAAGAGGGAGGTGTTTTATAAAAGAATTGTCTAATATTTGGGGACTTAGATATAAAGACCGTGCCTTTTTGCCTTCATATGGTAAATCAGGGGGTGTGGTCATTGTGTGGGATATGAGGGTTGTGTTTTCCTTAGAGGTTGGTGGAGGGGTGTTTATTCTTTCAATTCATTTTAGGAGGAATGATGGATTAGAGTGGTGGTTGTCAAGGGTTTATGGTCCGAATAGTAGTAGACTAAGGAAAGATTTTTGGGAAGAGTTAGCGGGGCTTTATGGTTTATATGGCTCCAGGTGGTGTTTGGGGGGAGATTTTAATGTGGTGAGATATGTGATTGAGAAATCATCTGGGGGTAGGATAATTAGAAGTATTGGTGATTTTAATGTTTTGATTAGGAAAAGGTAATGCTTCCTATACCTAGACTAATTTGAGGGAGAATATTATTCTCATTGGAGTGGGAGGAGTGTTTTCCAAATGTGAGACAAGACGCACTAGTTAGAGTTGTTTCAGGTCATTTTCCTATTGTTTCACATTCAAGTGTTTTTAAGTTGGGTCCAGTTCCTTTAGGTTGGTATCTGAGCAAATTAATTAGGGTTTAGATTTATCCTTTTATTTCCCTTCCCCCCCCCCCTTGTTTTTGGTTTTTGCCTCGTCTCTTTCTCTTTTACAGAATCCCAATGGAGGTTCTCAAATTGGGTTGGTTTTTCGTTGGACTGATCATGAAGCTCTTATGGAATGATATAAGTGCTTTGACATTATGGTTGACGCAACACAGGGTTGTATTGGAAAAAAAATGCGTTTGTTGCAGCGTTTAGGTTGTTGTTTGGTTCTGCGTGTTTTCTAGTCATCAAATTCATCGAAATCAATCGAAGTTGCAGCTGAGCTCTCGTTGAGCTGTTTGCTGCATTTCTCTGCTATTCTTCCATGGCTATAACTTCATTAGTTGTTGGAATTTTTCCTAGGGATGGCTGTTGCTTGAATTACTGACAGTGGTAGTCATCATGGATCGCTGGTGTGTTGTTGTAATTGTGGTGGATCCTTGGTGTGTTGTTTGCATGCACAGTGTGTGCTAGGTGTCTGGCGTTTGAAGCGTCGACGGAGAAGACAAACTATTGGGCAAGACTTCAAATCCATGGATCAGGTTCGGTTCAGACTATTTTAAGCCCAAAGGCCCCAAACCTTTTTTTTTTGTACGAGCCGATTACATTGGAGGTCCACCTTAGTTCTCACCCAGAACCCGGTTACTGGCCAACTGGTTCATCCACAGACTGGTTTAGATCTATAGACCAAACTGGTTCAGATAATTTCACCTTTGTATCAGACCGGTTCAGGTATGTTGCTTCTGTTCGTCTTTTTCTTCTCCTTTTTTGGTCTGATCCACTTCCAGGCAGTATTCCAGCACTAGTTTCTTGTGTTGTTGGGCCAGTTCAGTATATCCCAGGGTCGGTTTACTCCGGTTCAGTGTATTCTAGCTTCGGTTGAGTGAATTTCAGTCTGGTTTAGTATATTCCAGTGCTGATTCTATCGGATTCAACCTGGTTCAGCCCTTCTTTGTATGGTTCAAGTTCGATTTTGTGAGATTTTTACGCCTCGACTGCTTTTCCAACTTCCTGTACAGTGCAAGGAACAGCTATAGCTTTTGTTTCTGCCATATGTTTGACTTCTTGTTCATGTTTTTGAGATCCTGTGGCGTTGCTTGATTTAGTAGCGTGCTTTCTACAATTTTAGTGAGTGTTCTTGACCCAGATTTGCATTTTAAGTTGTGATTTTGCACTCTTGATGTTGATTTGGGTATTCTCAGTTGTGGTGTGTGGTTTGTGACTTTAGCTTGTGTGATTGCTGACCCTTGTGGGTTTCTCAATGACGATTTTCAATGGTGGGCTATGGACAAGACGCAATGTGGTGGTCGATCTATGTGGCAGTGTACTTATTGTGGTCGCATATACAATACTGCAGATTATTGTTGGGATAAGTATGACAGACCAACATATGCTAATCAGGGCTTTAAGGATACTCTAGGTCCTCTGCATCAGATTTCTACCAATGGTCCAAAGATCTTTCTTTTCAGCTTTGTCAGCCCAACCAATTGTTATCTTCACTTTCTTCCCATTTATCTGCTCCTATTACTGATCTTGCTGATGGAGGTAACTTTTTATGTGTGGTTTGCTCAATCTCCTTCGTCCTATTGGATCATTGACTTAGGAGCTAGTGCTCATATGTCTGGTATTTCCTCCCTTTCCTCTAAATTTCACTCGTCTAACTCACGTATTGTATTAGCTTATGGTTCCTTAGACTTGTACGTGGGACCGACGATCTCCATCCTACTCAATTTATGTCATAAACTTCTGGTTTGTTTGCTCCTAATTTTCTTTTTAATTTGTCTGTGAGTCAATTAATTAAGTCATTACAGTATTCTGTAACATTCTTTCCCTTCTTATGTGTTTTTTAGGACCTCAAAAACGAAGAAGATGATTGCTTTGGGGCATGAGCACAATAGCCTATACTACTTAGATCTTGGTGTTTTTATTCCAGCCTTGAGTGCTACTGTGTCCCCTCTTCAGTGGCACTTTTGAATCAGTCATCCTTTCTTGCAAAAGTTGCGTCAAGTTCTCCCTGGTTTGAGTTCTTATTCTTTGTTAGAATGTGAGACTTGTTAATTAGGCAAACATTTCATGTTGTTTATACAGATATTTGGGGTCCTACAAGAGTCGAAAGGATTTATGGTTTTTCAGTATTTTGTAATCTTTGTTGATGATTTCTCCTGCATGGCTTGGTTATATCTTATGATTGACCGATCTTAATTGCCTATGGTCTTTACCATATACTGAAATTCTGGTTCAGTATGTTGGCATAGCTGGTGTGTCCTGCACCGTTGCTGGCCTCTCAAACGCATCTCCCCCCCCCTCCCCCCCTCGTTTCCCCTTTTCTTCCTTTCCCCTTCTTGTTTGACATTGTTAATTTAGTCTAACTTTTCGCTTTCACAAATCAAGACTTTCCATTCATGTTTCCCGGGAGGACTCTTTCATCGCATTTTACTCACACTTGTGTTCATTCACCTGTTTATATTGTTGAAATTTCTTTGTCTACCAACTCGCATATTTAGGGAGAAGAACATACAACCTGTTCAAAAAAAAAGAAAACCAACACTAAAGTACAGACTAGGTTGAGCCCAGAAGAGAACAAAAGCATCATGTGGCAAAAACAGCTATTAAACCAGAAACAGAACATTAACATAGTCAATGTCGGTAGAAGCGATGACCCTGCATGCCCTAAACATTATTATTTTTGTCTTTGTAACAAAGTTGGTAAAAATAATGTAGTACAAGAGAGAGAATCCTAATCAGTATCTTCAGTCACACTCTATCTCCTTTTTTTTTCATCTTCTTTCTTTCATTCTATGAAACATTAAATGTATTATGATATCAGATCATGACTAGTATTTCTTGCTCATTACTGCATGAAGAAAGCGTACTCATTGACATTGGCCAAATAATAGGAGGCGAAAAGGAAGAGTACCATCTCTAGCAGATTTCATCTGAAAACTATGGAGTTGGATCAGAAATTGTTTCATGCATTTTTTTTTTGTCATTTCCTTGTGTTTTTAAGAAAGACGTGAATATGAATTTTGGTATTTACTCGCATTAATTCACCTGTGCATATATGAGTAAAAGCTTTGCAGAACGAATGCTTCTCTGTGCTAGTCATTTCTCTTCATAACGAATTTGATAACCTGCATCTTTGTTGGATTTTCTTGTAACCTTAATAGCTCGACCTGTACTGTTTATTTATGTCAACTAAACTCTGTTTTCCCATTATGTTGACTGGTTATTTTGTTTGCGGAATAGATGGATGAGGTGCTGGCTTCAGTTGCCGAGACAATAAAGAACTTTGCAGTGATTTACCTGGTGGACATCACTGAAGTGCCTGACTTCAACACTATGTATGAGTTGTATGACCCATCCACAGTTATGTTCTTCTTCAGGAACAAGCACATTATGATTGATCTTGGCACCGGAAACAACAACAAGATCAACTGGGCTCTCAAGGATAAACAAGAGTTCATTGACATTATTGAGACTGTCTACCGTGGTGCAAGGAAGGGTCGTGGTCTAGTTATAGCACCCAAGGACTACTCCNTGTCATTTCCTTGTGTTTTTAAGAAAGACGTGAATATGAATTTTGGTATTTACTCACTTGCATTAATTCACCTGTGCATATATGAGTAAAAGCTTTGCAGAACGAATGCTTCTCTGTGCTAGTCATTTCTCTTCATAACGAATTTGATAACCTGCATCTTTGTTGGATTTTCTTGTAACCTTAATAGCTCGACCTGTACTGTTTATTTATGTCAACTAAACTCTGTTTTCCCATTATGTTGACTGGTTATTTTGTTTGCGGAATAGATGGATGAGGTGCTGGCTTCAGTTGCCGAGACAATAAAGAACTTTGCAGTGATTTACCTGGTGGACATCACTGAAGTGCCTGACTTCAACACTATGTATGAGTTGTATGACCCATCCACAGTTATGTTCTTCTTCAGGAACAAGCACATTATGATTGATCTTGGCACCGGAAACAACAACAAGATCAACTGGGCTCTCAAGGATAAACAAGAGTTCATTGACATTATTGAGACTGTCTACCGTGGTGCAAGGAAGGGTCGTGGTCTAGTTATAGCACCCAAGGACTACTCCACTAAGTACCGCTACTGAGTACCCTACTCTGCTCCTGAATGGGGTGTCCTAAACTTAGAATTTCCTTTGGATGATATATTCATAGCCGTTTGAAATGAACTGAATATTTCTATTCTGCTCTGTTGTGTCTTGCATATTTGTTAAAAAAATTGCTTGTGGCCTTAGTATTATGGCATGATTGGTGTTAATGCACGCTAGTTGTCTTGACCTTGTCAACCTTGGATTCGCATGGAAGTACATGGTGTAGCTTTGTGCCGTGTAAGTTCAGCTTATGTCTCCTGTGTCCTCCATTCTTTATTCGACATGTCTGTCTGATCGTGTGCATGTTTATGTATTTCTGAAATATGGAGCCTTGCTAATTGCAAGTACTTGCGCTGAAAATAAGATTTTCCAAAGGTACATATAATTGGATGACTTCTTTTCCTTACCGATTTGACGAGCTTGCTATAACATATAGTCGGGAGGATGTGGCTCCCATCCAAGGTAAATTTGGGTGCCCTCTCTCTTTACAGAGTGCTGATTCTTGATATGAAGTTATGAATATTCGCATCCACTTTCATTGCAGTTTAATTTTTGTCTGGTATTGCTTTTTGCTTCTAAGAAATGAACAAGGTAAGACCATTTATGATTTTAGCAAATGGTGTTTCTATGGCCTCGCATCAATAAGCTTAGAGGCATTCTCGATTGGAGAAGATTGGAGAAGAACAAAATAAAGTGAAAATTAGGGTCGAGTCCTCCTTAAGAGATTTATAACGAGTTTAGTTTGTCAAAAATAGTTATTTAGGCATAAGTTCGTTTTTAATCTTATTAATAAGTAGTTAAGATAACTATTTTTTAAAAATTTTATTATACCTTTCTTTGAAAGTAATTTTAAATTAATTTTTTAAATTTAGAATTATTATCTTTAATTTCACTATCAATGAAGTTATGTTAATAAATTTTTTTATATAAATTTAAAATTTAAATTCAAATTCAAAGAATAATTGATACTCTCTCTCTCTCTCTCTATATATATATATATGTATATATATTCATATTATTGTTCATGTTTTTATTTTTGTGAGTATATTTCTATTTTTGTTGGGCATATTATTGTTCATTGTTGTTTTTTTTGATCATGTTATTATTGTTATTTTTGAAAATATTAACACTCAATGTTATTATTTTTTTATTTTTGAATATTTATTATTTTTTTGTGTTTAAATGTTACTTTTTTTTTTGTTTAAATGGTACTATTTTTTTGTTTGAATGGTACTATTTTTTGTGTTTAAATATTACTTTTTTTTTTTTTAAAATGTTACTATATGTAGTTTAGCTTCTGGAGATAGAATACTCATTACTTTATAATATACTCTCTAGGTAAAAGTCATTATATCTATTCCTTAAAATTATATCCATAAGTTTTAATAGGAACATATATAATGATTTTTACTTATAGAGTATATTATAAAGTAATGAATACTCTATCTCCAGAAGCTAAACTACATAACCATAAAGGTCAAACTACTTTAATTGAAACCAATATGATTAAAAATAAATTTGAAATTCTTAAAACTATTAAATTGTCAGAAATCCAATTTTTAGAAACATGACAATTAGAATCTGTGATTCCTAAAAAATTAGAAATAAATGAAAAAGTAACACACATAGTACAATCATCTCAGGGTGATGTAATGATAAGATTTGCTAGAAATAATTTTTCGCGATTAAAAATTTTCAATAAGTCAAGCACTTCAGCAGTCTATACTCCTAGTAGGAGATCCATTTCTTCTATACCAGATAGAAGAAGGGGGAAAAACCTATAATTGAGGGAGTTAGAACCTCACATAATTATATTTCACATGGAGTATATAGACAAGATAATAAATCTTCCTTAAAGGAAGATCAAGATCCAACTCTATTTGAAATCAGATTTTAACTATAAATTTTTATAGATTTAAATCTAAAAGAATTTATAATAAATAAAAAACAAATTAATGAAGAATTTTATCTTTCTAAATATGAAGAATTTAAAACTTGGCATTTTAAGACTATGAACCAAGAGAGTCTTAAAAGATATAAAGAAATGTTTTACTTATATATAGAATGGGAAAAAAAGATAATTCTTTTTGTTAAATGGTTTTTAACCTATTATGCTCTACCCACAATGGATCAATTAAATGTGATCAAAAAATTTCAACATAAATGAAAAATATTGGATAGTTTCAAATTCAAATGAGTTAGTTGAAATAATAATGAATCCTTGTTATTTGCTAAAAGACACTAATGATATAGGAAAGAATATCTCTATCAAACAAAATAATTACACCAATGTTTTTCTACAAGTGGTAGGACAACATTTGAGTAGAATTCAGAATTTAATAAAAGAACAAAAACAAGAAGTTTTGTCTTCNCGGGAGGATGTGGCTCCCATCCAAGGTAAATTTGGGTGCCCTCTCTCTTTACAGAGTGCTGATTCTTGATATGAAGTTATGAATATTCGCATCCACTTTCATTGCAGTTTAATTTTTGTCTGGTATTGCTTTTTGCTTCTAAGAAATGAACAAGGTAAGACCATTTATGATTTTAGCAAATGGTGTTTCTATGGCCTCGCATCAATAAGCTTAGAGGCATTCTCGATTGGAGAAGATTGGAGAAGAACAAAATAAAGTGAAAATTAGGGTCGAGTCCTCCTTAAGAGATTTATAACGAGTTTAGTTTGTCAAAAATAGTTATTTAGGCATAAGTTCGCTTTTAATCTTATTAATA